AGCTCGTCCAAACGCCCCACTCTTCTTCATTTTTCTGGTCTCATTCTCGTCCAGCCCCCTTTCTAGCGGTTTTTCGAAGCCTTTCTCTTACTTTGGAAGCGCCGATTCACGCAGTTTCTTCACCTTCATCGCACTATTTTCGGCATTATCTTCCATTTTTCATCACACCTGGACTACCCAAAACATCTGGACTACCCAAAACTATCGTGAACTGTGCCTTTAACTTGTTTCAGTCCAAAAACTTGGCCTGCGTTAGCGCTGATATGGTTTTGGTACCTTTTTCCCCTGCTGTGAATATTTTCCAAATGCTGCAGATTCAGATTACAATCGGGCGACATAACGAGTTGCTGAAATTCGTACTCTTTGAAAAAACAACCGTATTAGGATTCGTTTTAGGTCGACATCCCAGCATTTGATTGGCCCATTGCGAAGTTCCCTCGATACAAGTATCCGCTAGCTGACAACAAGGAGTACAATGACGCCCAAGACAAAGACTGCCTTAAGGACGTTCGGGAAAAAATCGCCGAATGGAAAAAGAAGGTAAGATCTTCATGAGGGGTGGCAATTTCATCTCCATCACTACATGACATGGCATGAGCGTCCCCCAAGTCCTTATCGAGCAATCTATTGGTACAGTTTGTCAGAACTGTGGTTGTAGCAAATCCCCTGGTACAGCACGCATGAACTTCTAAATTTCTCTAAGGTTGTTCAGTTGGGGTTCACCTGCTCATGGACTTTTAATTATTTCCTTTTCATTTCATGGATTCATTTGGTTCAACTGCTCTACTTCAGGACCACGATGTGGCGGCGATTATTGTGGAGCCTATTCAGGCTGAAGGTGGAGACAACTATGGAAGCCCTGCTTTCTTCAAGGAATTGCAGAAGATCGCAGCTGATAATGGAATTGTCTTCATTGTTGACGAGGTGATTCAATTTTCTTCTGAACGGTCTTCCTGATTGTGAGTTGATGCTACTTGTGACGGGTGTGTGTCAAGTCGTGCGTCCGAGGGTGCGCGCGGCAAATTGCGCGGCGAAGTTCGTGGCGAATTTGGACGACTCCGGCGCCTATCGTAGGGGCCCAAACCTGAAGTAAGGTAGATTAGTAAGGTCAGCTAATCCTACTATTCTACTCTACTTCGAAATTGGGCCCAAATAATAGGCGCTAAAGTCGTCAGAATAGGTATGGGTTTCACCGCGTAATTTGCCGCGCGCACCTCGGACGCACGACTTGACCGTCCCCACTTGTGACGAATGCATTTGATGATGAGATCGTAGGGGTGTTGAAAAAAGAGCTTAGCGAACAGGGTGGTACCGAATCCTTTCCTGATCGATCCTCAAACTCCTTTGTCGACATCCCTGCCTAGAGGCTTCTGTTCACTGTTGAAACTTCGTGCAGATCTTTCTTTTCCGCGCTACTGGCTCACCCTGAATGCAAGGCATATAAGAAAGCTAGCCGTTCCCGGAAGTTCTACTACACGATCCTTTTATGGTGAAAGATGAACAGCTCCCTACTTCCCAATAGTTTATCCGATTGTTCAGGTGCAAACTGGTGGCGGAGGAACGGGCGATATGTGGGCACATAGCCATTGGAACCTTGACACTCCTCCCGATATCGTCACCTTCTCAAAGAAACTTATTACCGGTGGATATTTCTACAAAGAACATCTCCGTGTAAAAGAGGTTTGCGGGTCATTTTCATGGGGTGAAGCAAGAGCATCTGAACTGTAACTTGCAGGGATACCGAATTTACAACACTTGGATGGGAGATCCTTCAAAACTGTTCCTTTTGGAGAAAGTGATCGAAGTCATAAAGCGAGATAACCTCATCGAGAAAACTAAGAAAGTGGGAGAGACGTTCCAAAACGAACTGGCAAAACTGCAGGTAACGTCCTCTTTGAAAAAAGGGCTTTCGGGTGAGTAGGGGATGGACGAGATGGTTTTTAGGCGAGTCATTCATCTATAATCAGCCAAGCCCGTGGAAGAGGAACGTTCGCAGCCATGGATTTCCCTAATGCTTCAGTTCGAGATAAATTTGTGGAGAAGGTAATTGAAGGAAATTTCCATTAGTGTCTCTTCTGACAAAGTATCCTCTGACGAAGGCATTGTTCTCGGAATTCCCTACACTTTTTTCAGGCAATCAACCTTGGCCTGCATTGTGGTGGATGTGGAGAGAAGTCGTTACGTTTCCGACCATCATTAGTGTATGACAAGCCGCACGTTGAAATCACATTCGATCTGCTTGACAAAGCCCTTAAACAACTTTGAAAAGGTCTCATAGGGTGCTCAACAAAGACTACAAAAAATTTGTACACTTCACTTTTATGGAAGATCATTGGTTTTTAAGTCTGGTTAGATTTCGTTATACGATTATTTCCATTTCCTTCATCTGCTTCTTACGAGTGAACTTGCTGAATTGCTGACTGACTTTTCATTCCCATGACCTTAACGTAGCACAGTTGAACCTTAATAGGAATCCTGTTTTCTTACTGAGTAAACCTTGAAAAACTTCAATTAATTCGCTCCATTCTCGCTTTTGAGCAGCATCACAGCTATCGCACATCGGAAAGAAAGAGAGAAGCAATAGATGTTGAAAATTTGTCACCTACCCATTTGTCCAGGAACGCTTGATAAGTAGACTGCATTTAAGATGTCTTGGAACGATTTGGGAAAAGAACGGCGAAAGGAAATGATCAAGTGTTTTCTCCGAATGTGGTCTGCAAAATCTGGAACAGAAATTGTAGGCAATTCTATGAAGTTAAGACCCCAATACGAATTATGATGCCTGACGAGTCGTTCTATCAAAAATTAAAATTCAACCGAGAGGTTTTCAATCCTTGCATTCCAGCTCGACAAAATTGAGTTCCAACGCTTCAATATGCTGCTAAAATATGTTTTCAATAGTTATCACGGTGAAGTGGCTGCATAGGATGTGTCCTCTGTTGGAAGGAAGCAAAAATAAATGGCGCCGATCATGACAAAGAGGACGTGCCATTCATTCATTGCGACGTCAACTTCGTAGAGTAACTGGAGCGCTACACTAGATTCCACCCTTGGCTCCGGAAGTATGCATATGGCATTTCTTTTCATTCCCTCCTCCTCCATCTAGCAGCAACTGATTTGAGGAAGCTGGGATGGCACTACGTTTTTCTGGTCCTTATGCAGTTATCCTATTGTTTGGACTTGATGTTTTGTTAACTGCTGTCATATCGCCGCAGTACGCGTTCCGAAAGTCTCACAAGGTTGGCGATTCATGGACAAAACTTCAATCTACTTCAACTTTCAATTCATCCTTCAACTTCAATTTCAAATTCAAAAAAATTCAACTTCGGTAGTGTAAGGGATAAGAGCACGGTCCCCGGAAGGGACAAGTACGGGTTCGAGTCCCATCCGAGACTGAAGTTTTGTCCATGAATCGCCAACCATTTTTATTTGTTTATTTAATTTCAACGAACTTGAGAAGGCATTGACCGCTGGGAGCAGCCAAAGATTCCTAATTTGGTAACAGACGAAGAAAAGGATTAGTGCTGTCTAGAAGCGGATTCATAACGCGATTACTTGCAAGACAGGTGCCTTCAATTGACAACTACCCCAGACAAACACAGTAACGCCACATTCAAAACCTCAGCAATTTTCCTCTACCTACGAATGATTTGATCTTTTCTAATACAAGATTTTGGGACTTCTTACAGAAGCACGGGCAGGCAAAAACACCAATGAACGCAAAATTTGTGAAAAAAAATAATAAGAAGAGTTTACCACGATTGAAATTATCACGACCAATCACATCGTATGCACTTTTTATTTGAATTCTTCCCTGACAAACTTTTAGGTGCTCGGATTCACATTTAATGTTTTTAACATTCTGTGAAGTGAAGGTACAGGCGCTTTTCAAGAAATTACGACCTATAAAGTTTGCAAAAGGGCTTAAATTCCCTTCTCTAAATACTAATAAATCGGGATAATCTGGGAGGCTCTCCTTTCGAGATCGCCATGACTGATATACTTGTTTGGGAGACATCTTCTCAACGAAACCAGAATATAACATAAGTGAATTTTTCACGTCTTTCAAAGGCTTCAAGTAGATTTCGATTATAATATAACGTCGTACAACAACTGCCCAGTTCCATATGTCCACGACAGTCATAAATAAAGAGGAATACCACGAGCTTCTCGCCTCATCTGCTAAATTGAATAAGTATGGATTGTAAAGAAGAAGCATTCATTCGGTATGTAGTTGTGAGCGTGCAAGTTGTGGACAAGAGGTACTTGTGAAGAAGTCAATAGCCCGAGTCCAAGCACTAGAGACAGTGGGAAGGCAAGTGAAGAAGAGTGGTAGACGTTGACGAAGCATCCGAGGAGGGCGAAGCATGATGAAACTCATACCGGTATCTCTGTGGTCTCCTCCTCAGTAACTCCACCTACCCCTCACGGGGTATAGGTACATTGGTGCATCCGGAGATGCACGCACCCAATTGCTCGGCTAAATTCGTAGTTATGCGGACCACCCTGGCGTTTATCATCAAAACATAAAAGCATAAACACAAACAGCAAGGAAGCCCAAAGTTGAAGCTGCTTATAAGCAAGCACATCAATTCGATAGATAAATGGAAGTCATGGGAATCAGGAAATCTATTCGCCGCGCAGTTTGCCGCGTGCATCTCCGCGCCCACCAATGTTCCGTCCCATCTCTTTACTATATGATGTCTGAAGCGAAGCCGATTTCCTGCTTTATGACGCCTGGTTGGGGTCCGATTTTGCCATATCATTGCCTGTAAAGAATCATCTCGAGCGGATAAGTCATACACATGACTGTCCATCCTGTCTAATACCAGCACACAGAGGCGCTATCTGGTCTCTCACTTAACGGTTACTATCCTCATTTCGGCTGTGCTATGACTTACTATCATTTCACTTGCCCTATTCCTACTACTCTGCTGACGAATAGTGTCTAAAGAGGCCTGCCCAACCATGCTTCTACAAAGCTACAACAAAATAACGTGGGGACCCTGAGTTGCTTTATCACGGAGAACCATCGATCTGAGAGAAACCATTGATTCCATTAGCTTAGATGCGATTAATGAGGATGAGGTGGGTGTATGCGGTTTTCCCGTACGCCCACCACATCCCACCATTTTTTCCCGAATGCTATATCACTCCAAGATAAATCTGTCTGCAGCGTCTGACACGATAAGCTCACACTTTCAATGATCTTTGAATGTTTAGATAGCGTTGGAACGATACGAATGCAAACTTATCACTGACGTAGATCTCGATTGCCCGTCAAAAGCATGTTCGAGGCACGCATCTGCGTTGAGGTGTCCCACCAAAGCTGGTAGTCTACCGACATGTGGAGAGTTAGCAAAAATATTAGGTTGATGCATAATTACTGCGGATTTTTTCGCGGTCTTTTTTCTCTCGATAGAATTCGAAAATTGAGTTCGGGTTTTTTTCTAAAAACGATCTACTTGATTTCTTCTACAAAAATATACTCAAAAAACCATTCGCATATTAAAATAAAAATAAAATAAGGCTTAACTACTTCGAGAAGGATTAGAAGGTGGCACAGCATTCCGCGATCTTAGTAACTTCTCGGCGGTGGAACAACCAGCCAAAGCCAACCAAGAAATAGGATCTGCTCCTAAACCTGCCATATTCACCAGCAGATCCTTTTATGGATTATCTCGTCAACGATTCATCGAAAAATGGCTAGAGAATAGAAGTTACGTCGATTTGGTTGACTTGATGGCCGATGTCAAGGCGTGGATCGCCCGTAAGNATCAAAAATTCTTCTTTTGGGATCCAAATGACTAATCAATGGGAAGCAGTGCTTGACGTAGATGGTGAAGAAGTTCCAGAGTAATTACTTTAATATGTCTTTGCTTAGTATTTTTATAGTTTCTTAAAGTAAAATTTGCTGAAAAAAAATCCGCAATAATTATGCATCAACCTAATAGTATACGGGTAGGCCACAAATTTATCCTGGGGTGACATTTTTCAGGCCATTTTGTCGTGAACTGTACCTTTAAAACAAGAATTTATTGAACTTGTTTTCCTGCGCCGAAATCGCCCAAACTTGAAAGAGACACAGCGCGGGAACGAATGACAGAGGTGCTAGGAAGAGACTAAACTACATAGACTCCACTTTCTATAAGGGGTAAGAGAAAGGGTAGCGAAGCGTTCGCAAAATAAGCGTAACTCAAGTCAAACACACAGCCAACTCGGACTAAGTGAGGAATGGGTCAAGCTAGCATGACACACATGATCTAAGCTGAACTACAGTTAGTTGTGTCGAAACACTCATCGTTGAGCTAAATGAGAAGTATATATCGAAACTAATGAAGGTTGAGAGCACAGTGAACGTGCAAATAGTTTTCATTGTCGCCCAGTTTAGAAGTCTAGAATGTAATGAATAAGCGCCCATGACTTCCACGGCATCTAATAAGATTGTGATGATTTCTTATTGTTTTGTGGAAATAAAGGTAAGTACATTCATCTATTCAGTTATTTATTTGTTTACTTATTCATTCATTTATTTATTTAACTGAATACATTTAATTGATGTGTCATACCACGTAAAAGCCATGAACCTTAAGGCAATGTTCCTATAACAACAAATAAGAAGAAAGAAACATTTCAGAAGGAAGAAAAAGATAGATAGAAGCCATATAGCAAAGCTCAAGCTTACGGGAAAACTCATCTCTCTGTGAAAAATGAGGGACGGAGAAAACACAGGCAAGAAGATGCGACGAAGGGGCATCATCAGAATCACCCTGGGATCTCCCTTGAATGCTGCTCTCTCTTGTGAAACAGTCATCTCAAAGAGATTCTGCCCCACGGTACAAAGAGGGCACTTCAAAATTATGGGGGGCTGTGCCTTTAACGGCTTTCTCGGATTCATATCACTATGATTAGGATCTCCTACTTCACTGTCGATCTCGCTTGGGAATTTTATATTTTGGTTCAACCATAGATACCTCACTTCATTTGATTTTGTGAATGTGTGTTCAGCAAAACTTCAAGCACTGAAGAGGCAACACTGAGCAACTCACTCCGATGAAAACAAGCAAAAATGAGCACCTCGCGGGTTCGAAGGTTATGATTCGAAGCANCTTACCGCAGCGAAACAGAAGCCACAACTGGAATTGAGGGCATTCCTTGCAAATGCAAAGAGGTCTTCTTTTCACTAAAAAAACATTTCAATTAGTTATGAATCGAGCCTCAGAAAAAGGTTTTTTTATTCACCGCCAATTACATACTAATTGTGT